TATGATTCTAGATCCGGCCTGGTCCCGACCTTTGGCATCCTTCGGTGTGCCCATTGCCTCTATCAACTCCGAAAGTTTCTTGTCGTTTACAGCCATCTCTTCTTGATACTTCACCCTCGTTTCTTCTACTTCTAGCTTATCTATTCTCCATCTGTACATTTTCCTGCGTCGCCTACTCTGTATGACTCTCGTCTGTTGTAGGGCTGTCCACACCAACGCATGGTCTGTAGTGCCTACATCCGTTGTGCATACTCGTACTTCCGTCTCTTTCCCCCAATTCTCTACGACTATGTAGTCAAGGATGGAGCGTTCTCCTTTTTTGAACCACTGCCTAGTCCATTCCGGTTCTGTCTTTCGTACTCTATCGTTCAACACCTTCATCTCGCTACTGTCAAGGAACCTCAGCATTTCTTCCCCGTTTTTGTTCGTGGCTCCCTCCCCGTATTGCCCGATGGCTCCGTGTGGGTTCGTGGTTCGCCCGATTCTTGAATTGAAGTCCCCAACTAAAACTACTTCTCCCTTTCTCTTGAAGTTTTGTACATCCGCCGCTACCTCCTCGAACCCTATCTTGATGTCCTTCACCATATTCTTCGACTCTGGTGGTATANGGTTCTGTCTTTCGTACTCTATCGTTCAACACCTTCATCTCGCTACTGTCAAGGAACCTCAGCATTTCTTCCCCGTTTTTGTTCGTGGCCCCCTCCCCGTATTGCCCGATGGCTCCGTGTGGGTTCGTGGTTCGCCCGATTCTTGAATTGAAGCCCCCAACTAAAACTACTTCTCCCTTTCTCTTGAAGTTTTGTACATCCGCCGCTACCTCCTCGAACCCTATCTTGATGTCCTTCACCATATTCTTCGACTCTGGTTGTATATATACATTTCCTGCGAGCAAGTCCTTCCTTCCCCGTTCCCCTGGCACCCTTATCCACATGCTTTCGTTGAATTTGGTGTCGCTGATCACCTCAATTACGTCGCACATGTGCTCCTTGACTAAGAATCCAACTCCCCCCTCCCCTACTCTTGACTTTCTGTCCTCTCCTCATTTTACCTATCCATGTGTAGCTTCCCACTTCTTTTCCTATTTCTCCCCCGTCCTTCTCCCACGACTCTTGGACTCCGACTATGTCCAGGTCTTTTTCGGCTGCTTGCTCGGCAATTTCGAGTCTTTTACGCTCATCTGTGGCAAACCCGCATACATTCCAAGACCTTAGTCTGATTTCCTTACTCCTACTTTCTACTTTCCCGTGCCTTTCAGGATTCCTTCTGTCCCTCGTTCGCCTTCCCTTCTACCTTATCCTTTCGCTGCTCCCCCCTTCCCCTACTTTGGCTTGCTTTCCCTTTTGATCCTTTCGAACCTCCTGCCCCCCTTTGTTTTCAGCCAGCCTTGGGCTACGCCTTACTTCCTGGATCCTATTTGCTATGCACACCCTCCAACCTAGTCTCCTCACCCACGCCGACATCTTCTCTACTTCCAGTCTTTCCCATTCTGCGCTTACTCTCCTTCCAAACGTGATTCTAAAGTGGTTTCCTTCCCTTTCTACCCCCCCCCGTGCGAAGCAATATAATCCTACTTGTTCACATATATTTTTGAACTCCAACCTTGTCATGTCGTTATTGACCCCAAATATCAACACTACCAGTACTGCACCTTTCCATTCTCTCCTTCTCCACCCATTGTGCCTTGTCGTCTCCCTCCTTATCTCTTTCGAGACTATCTCGTTGTTTTTGTTCGAAGTGGGATGCTTTCAAATTACTGGGACTTCCCAATCCTAGTACTTGTTGAGGGTCTGGTGTCTTTAAATTATTTTGCCGGCTCACCGACGCTAAAAAGTGCCTCCAACATGGGCTCATAGCCTGGAGCCAAGTTCAACACCCTTAGCTCAAGTACCCCAAGTTTGTGCCAGGCGATCTGCATGGTAACCAACCCAAGCGTCCCACGACCGTATCTTCTCTCTACTTGCCCCAGCTGCTGTACTGGGTACTTTCCTCCGGGGAGGTCATTTTCCCCATGTAGGGTCCAAGGGCGGCTTGCATAACAGGTCTCACTCACACATCGGGATGTCCGTCTCTTCCTTGATTTTTATGACATACAAACATAAAAATCTCCTCCTCGTAGACGCCAGAGAGCACTATCT